GAAGTGGCGACAAAATGCATCTGAAGATCTGAACACGATCACTTATGGAACGGCTTCGGCACTTTTAGGCGATTCGATGCCTTTTCGAACTGAGGGATTGGTACAGCAGTTCGCACCCAATTGGAGCTCACGTCATAAAAAACGACTTTTATGTCGATGACATGATCACAGGAGCTGACACTTTGGCAGACCTAAAAGTCATCTGCAAACAAGTGTCAGAAATATTGGAATCTGGTGGTTTCCAGTTAGCCAAATTGGCATCAAGTCACGCTGACTTGTTTGCCAATAGTGGCGACGAAAAGCCGTTGCCGTCCGATATCTCGGAATCGATAAAGGCATTAGGTATGAGATGGGCGCCACAACGTGATACTTTTTATCATTATTTGGACAATACTTTTGAGTCTCTGAAGCCCACTAATCGCAACATTCTGTCGGTCGGATTTGTGGAGGCAGAAACTTGATTGGGATGAGGCAATCCCAATGAGCTTGCATACGTTTTGGGACACATTCAAGTCAAATCTGCTTAAGCTTGACCAAATCAATATACCGAGATATGTAGGTCTCGCCGGAAGTCGAACTATCCAAATGCATGGTTTCGCAGATGCATCCAGCCACGCTTATGGCTGCTGCATCAACATTCGGACTGACAACGGCAACAATGTGGTCTCTGCCTTGTTGTTCAGGTGTCGCCCTTGTTATCCCAATTTGAAATAGAGAGCATTAATTTTTGGTCAGACTCGCAAGTTACATTGTACTGGCTTAAACGAGATCCATCTTCGCTGTCGACATTTGTCGCCAATAGATTTGCAGATATACAAGTAAATGGTAAATGGAGGTGCTCCGATTTCAGAAAGCTGGTTCGTATAGTGGCACACAGTGAATCGGTTCTGTCTCAAATTGAAATGCAAAAGTAGAGGCTTGCTTACTGCAAGTGAGCTAAAATTGGCTTTCCTTAAACTGATAGAAGCGGTTCAGAAGGAGGTTGAAAATTTAAAGGCGTCAAAATTGCTTCAACCAAAATATCAGAGCATGAATCCATTCTTGCACCAGTACGAGCAAAACGGAGTTAACTTGCAACTTGTGCGAGTAGGTGGACAACTGCTTAACGCTTCTCTGCCGTACGACGTGAAATTTCCTTTGCTAATGCCACGAAATTCGCGTCTTGAAACTCTTTTCGTTCGCGCCTTGCATTTCGAAAATCATCATGCATGTGCCGAAGTCATGGTTGCCCTTCTTAGGCAACAAATATGGCTTATCAATGCTCGAGAGGCATGCATAAGGGCAGTAAAAAACTGCGTGCATTGCTTCCGCTACAAACCAAAGTTGCTGAGTCAAATAAATAAAATAATAAACATTTTTAAATTCTTTTAAAAGGTTCATCGGCAGACGGGGTCTTCCGTAGCGCGTGTACAGGAACAAATTTCGTGGGAGCAAGCAACGCTCTGAAGGACCTTCAGGCAGCATTCCGAGACCAGAAGGACAGGATGGTGTCGTACGTCGCACAGTGAGGGATCGCCTGGGTGTTCACTCCGCCGCGAGCACCACACTTCGGAGGACTGGCCGCCAAGAATCGCCTTCTAAGAGGAGTCGGCAACGCTCATCTGACGCAAGGACAGCTGAATACCCATCTGGTGGAGGTAGAGGCGCTACTCAACTCGCCCCCCTCAGCAGCGATCCAAGCGACGACGAGGCCCTGACTACAGGCCATCTGCTAATAGGTCGGCCTCTACGTTCGCTGCCGCACAAATCCGAGCCAGGAAGGGCAGACAGCAGGATCAGCTCCGGGTTGTTGAAAAGGTGGCAGCAACTTTCGGTGCTTAAGCTGCAGCTTTGGCGCAACTGGTCCAGGGACTACGTCTGCAGCAGCGAACGCGGTGGGCCAAAGGAGAGCCCAACGTGGAAGTCTCATCCACGAGGACAATCTTCCACCCCAAAAGTGGCTGACAGGGCGCGTGGTTCGCACAACCGTCGGGCAAGACGGTAAGGCGCATGTGGCCAATTTATAAGCTGGCCGTATTACCAATAAGTTAAAGCCTATCGCTTTAACGGGGCCGGAATGTTGAAGCAGGAGTTAGTCATAAGTTTGAATTGTTAGCTTGTAATTAGACTTATTGTAAACTTAATTTGTAAGCCAATGCATTTTTAGCAGTGTAATGAAGGAACTATGTATAAGCTTAGATTAACATTGTAACGTTAAGGCGCGCTGATAGAATGTAAGAAAAGCTCGCATTGTTCTAGGCCTAAGCATAATTTGAAAATAACTTTCACAAGTAAAATAGCATTGAAGCACGACACACGAACTTCTTTCGCTTAAATAAATTTCGTTCGTTTTCTCCAGCAACCCAACTGTGCTCATTATCGCGGTAAAATTCAAATATCGATTGAGTACATATACTTAAATATACTAATATTTATAGCATATATATGTCTTTTAGATTGCAAAAACGCGTGCAATTTTGCAATCATCAACTTCGATAATCATGATAAAATCAATATAATTCGAGTGTTTATACTCTGTACATGAAATGTACAAGAGTATATTAGATTTGCGGGAGCTGAAAAATGTAACAGGCAGAAGGAGGCGTGGCAGACCCCACAAAGTATATATATTCTTGATCAGCGTGACAAGACGAGTCGATCTAGCCCTGTCTGTCCGTCCGTATGAACACCTGGATCTCAGAGACTATAAGAGATAGAGACACCAAATTTTGCACAAAGATGCGTAATGTGTGTATTCTATACGAGTTTGTTTTATTTTTTTGATTTTCCCCCCACTTCCCCCTTATGGGGGTTTTCCTGATTTTCCATTCGTATAATCGCCTATATCTCGGAGACTACAACAAATTTTAGTCCAAGATGCCTTGTGTGAATACGCAGAAAATGTATGTTTTGGAATTTCCCTCCCGTAATTCTTGGAATTTCGAACTAATTTTGCAAATACCCCCAGTTAGTAATTATGTGTCCGTATGCCAAGTTTCACTATGATAGACCGATTTACCAAGAAGTTATAGCCATAAATATATTTGCTGCTGCAGCGCTGCTCAAGCGCTGCCCGCGGCTGTTGTTGATGTTGCTGTTTGGTTGACTGCGAAAATGCTTACACAGACACGAATAGATGCGCATAGGCATACATACACTCACACAGATGCAATTGCTATGTAAATGTGCAATTATACACCCTTTACGTGAGTTCGAATACCGAGAAAGGTAAAATCGATCATTGAATTTTTTTTTATTTTCTTAATTTTTTTTTATTTTCTATAATTATTGTAAACATATGTACAGAGTATTTCAAAGTCGGGACACCCGACTTTAGCTTTTTTACTTGTTTTTCTATAATTTTTGTAAACATATGTACAGAGTATTTCAAAGTCGGGACACCCGACTTTAGCATTTTTACTTGTTTTTTTTTAAATTTTATAGAGTTTCATTACAACTTGGCATGTGCTTTTTGCTTTAATTTTCTGCAATATACATACATTGCCTAAATACGTTTTTTGAGTCTTTGTTGCTGCTCCAAATGTCAACAATTTCTACGTGGCCAAACACAAGTTTTGCTGCAATAAGCACAATTTTTTTGTAAAGGAACAAGAAGGAGCCGAGAGGGTTAATATATTCGTATTCTACACGTTTTATTGAACAAATAGCAATTAGTTATAGTAAAGACCATTACATTACTAACTTTTAATCCACAAAAACATTTCATTTAGGTTATTACCATCTAAAAACAATGAGTCGACAACAACACACAAAGACAAAGACAACATAAATCAAAACATAAAATTAGGTTAATGTTTAATATTTGACATACCTTTGGCTATGTTTTCCATTGCAGCAATCTAATAACTAAACTGTTTCAACAATATTTATTGGGCATCAAAATACCACTTAGTACAAAGACAACAAAACAGGAATGCTTTAATTTAAAAACAGCTTGAGGACTGTTACAAACTTCCAGAGTCATAGGAAAAATTATTCACTATGCAACTTGGATACCTTATTTTATGCTCTATTACGCTATTCAAACTCTTTTTTTTATAGCCTGTACCCAAAGGGTAAAAGGCTATATTAGTTTGGTGCGAATGTATGTAATACACAGAAGGAGGCGTGGCAGACCCCACAAAGTATATATATTATTGATCAGGATGACAAGACAATTCGATATAGCTATGTCCGTCTGTCCGTCCGTCTGTCTGTATGAGCGCAACGATCTCAGCAAGTACAAAAGCTAGAATAACCAAACTTGGTATCCAAGTTCCCCTAAGCCCTATGCAGATCGAGTTTGTGTTTTTTTTCTGATACACCCCCTACTCCCCCGCAATTTGCGTTTTTCTTAACTCCTGTAATTTTGAACTCAAATGTGGCATAAACATCCAGTTCGTGGTTATTTGTCCGTATGCCAGGTGTCATCATTTTAGGTCAGCTTGCAGCGCTGCCCGCAGCTGTTGTTGTTGTTGCTGCTTTGGTTCAACTTTTTGCTGCATACATACACGCGTATAAACACGCAAAGACACGATTCTGATGTAAATGCATGCTGTTGAAACTGTACATTAACATGTCTCCACTATCGTGTATATGTGTTGAATAATTTGTTTTAATTTAATTAAATAATTTAATTAATATAATTTTAAAATTAATTAAAAAATTTTTTTTTTCGTTTTTTCGTTTTGGTGGGAGGTACAGGGTATTTAAGTTGAGTTCGACTTTAGCATTGCTTTCTTGTTTAAATACAAAAAAATATATTCTATTTTATGCCAAAATTTTGGCAATTCCGACCAGGGGATTTTTCGTAACACCGTTCGTAATCATCTATATCTCGTAAACCATTAGACCTAGGGACATCAAACTCTAATCCAAGACACCTTAAATGAATATGCAAAAAATGTGTATTTTGGAGTTTCCCATCCCACCCACCTCTCCCCCGAAATTAGTGATTTATCTATAAATTCCGTAATTCTTAAAATTTTTGACTCAAATTAATTAATTATGTTGTTGCTTACCTCAAAAGAACACGATGCAGTATCATCCATGACCGTCTCATTTTCCTTTCATCATTAAAATATAATTTCTTTCCAACGTCTTCATCAAATTGATAAGATAAAATACTTATGAGGTTCTGAACTAGCCTTGAACACTTATGTAATAGGGCGGCAGCTACGTAAATAAAGAAAACGGTTACATAATAGAATAATTATTTTCTGAATATATCAGGGGTGGCACAGAAATGTCTTCCGCCCAAGTTTCTCCGCAAAACCAATTATCGGTGCCACAGAAATCTCTTTTGGGATTCAGGCCCGCAGAACCGGAGAAAATACTGGAACTTATTCAGCTCTTCAACACGAATATTAATACTCAAGGCTGGAGGGTATTAAAAACAGAACCGACAAAAAGAGCAACTATGCAGGTCGTATTTATGCTAAACAACGAATGCGTGGAGCAGCTGAATGCAACGGAAGGCCGACTAAGCTACCGGTTCGATCAAATAAATCTAAACATATAGATGGCGGATATGGGAGCACTATGTACTCTCGCCGAGAACACAAACACGATAGAGCCGCCCAGCGAGGACGAGATGGATGTCGATGTAGATGAACCCTCCGGGGATCTACGAGACGACATCTCGACCGACTACGGAAATGTGCTGGGCCGGTTCTATGCCGAGCGGTGTCTCCTCGAAGACAACAGTGGAGAAGCCGACGAAAGGATGGATAATTCTGATGATGCAGATCCTCCAAATAAACCTGCAACACAGTAAGGCAGAACCGGCTGCACTAATGGTTCGTCTGGCAGCAGGCAAAGTCCTGATTCAAGAGGACTGGATAAACAACAGCGCGATCCGGGGTCTTGGCTCACCAAATTTTACCCTGTTTAATGGGAACGGTAAGGGTCAACTTAGAACATGTATTCTAGCTAAAAAAGAACTAAATCCCATTCTGCTCCCCCAATTCAGCGATGATGACCTAACCACGATCAATGGCTTCTTTCTACATGACCCATGAACAAGATAACCCCATCCCGCAGCTGCTGAGAGCCCTAGTTGGCAATAGCGGCGACAACGAAATATGCACGATCCTAGGTGGAGACGCCAATGCTCACCATACTCAATGGGGCAGCAATGATATCAATCAAAGAGGTGAGTTAGTATACGTCTTAATAATAAGTAGTAACCTACCATCTTTATAACAAAAATACGTCACACTGGCGTCTGAATTTCTTGAACGCAGAATCCTTGCCTTGGACCCTCCGTCCTAAATGAGTGATCACTCATTCTCGGACCACAGCCTCATACACTTCAGGCTAGGGTACCACACCGCTAAAGCCATTAAAGACTTCAATCTGAAGAAAACCAACTGGGGGTAGTATCTGAGATTGCTCATCAGAAAAATATCCCCCTACAAAACTCTGAACCCGATACGGGAGAGAAATTGGACAAGTTGGTGGATACCTTCACGAAAACCTGCTCGGGCTCGGTTAAGGAAGCCTGCCCAAGCCCAGTTTATAAGGACAAATTTAAACCGCCCTGGTGGTCCACTGAATTGGATGGTCTTCGGGTCGAATGTAGAAGACAATTCAACGTGCCTAGAAGATGTAACACAGAACCCAGTTGGGAACTATAGAAGCGTAAACTTGCCACCTTTAAGTCGGCCATTAGAATAGGCAAGGCCAACTACTGCTCAAGTATCGAGTCAAGATTACAATGTACAAAGGGAAGACGGCAGGTGGACTTTCTGAACTTTTCAGCCCTACAAATTTCCTGGATCGGATGGCATTGTCCCGGCCCAACTCCAACATTCGCTGCGGCACATTATGTCCTGGATTCTGACAATTTTTAGAAGTTGTTAAGAGTCAACCACATTCCAGCATGCTGGAGAAAGGTAAGGGTCGTGTTCATCCCCAAGGCTAGGAAACCGTATCACGTCAAACCGAAAGAATTAAGATCCATCAGCCTATCCTCGTTTCTACTTTAAACTTTAGAGAGACTAATAGAAATACACCTCAGACACTGGTGGACAACCAGGTACTGCTGTCGAACTCACAACACGCATACAGTAAAGGCACTGACACTGCTCTACACTCCCTGGTCTCCAGAATAGAGAGGAGTATTCACTGGTAGCCTTTTTGAACATCAAGGGCGCCTTCAACAATATATTACCGTCGGCAATCACCCAGTCGTTGGCGGATCTTGGGGTAGATGTCTCCCTGGTAAGCTTCATCAGTCAGCTGCTTACTAGCAGGGCTAGTAATTTGCACAAGAAAGTACAAGATTCCGGTACTTCAGCCACCCACACTAAAAGGAGTTCCCCTTAAATTCGCCACAGTGCCAAGTACCTAGAAGTCATCCTGGACAGGAAACTGCGCTGGAGCGACAACACAATAGAGCTGGTAATAAAAGCCACAAGAGCACCAGGTGGGGGTTCTCACCAAGCATCGTACACTGGATATATACGGCCATCATAAGACCGATTCTTCTGTACGGAATCATAGCCTGCGCTGGAAAAATCAACCGTTCTCACCCAACTCAGTAGATCGGCAGAATTAGGCATAAGCGGGGCACTTCGTACTACACTACTGTAGGCCCTTAATATACTCTTCCATCTTCTCATGCTAGACATAGTCGGGAAGGTACTGGCCACAAACTCAGCCCTAAGGCTGAGAGAAGGCTCTGCCTGGAAAAGCACGGCAAGAGGACGTGCAAGCATACTCCGTCTTCACCACGGGGGTTCCCATACGGATTACTGCATACCAAAACTCATTTTTGAGAAGAAATAGCAGTCAGGATTCCGACTCGGATTCCAGGATTCCCAACCAGAGTGGGATAGCCTCCCACATACATGAGACAATGCCATCAACTTTTTTACGGATGACTCTAAACTGGAACAGAGAGTCGGAGGCGGCATCTTTTCTCCGGACTTGGAGATGCGATTGTCGTTTCGACAGCCAAGCGGCTCTCAAAGCGTTGGATTCCAATGTGGACACTCCAAAGTTCTCACAGACTGTAGCAGATCTCTCAACGAGATGGCCGAACTAGTCAGTACTAGCCTCATATAGGTGCCAGGACATCGAAATATTTAAGGAAACTGCCACTGCTCGGCCCTGAGCAGGCGCAGACTACGCATAGGGAAACCTTTCTTAAGCCACTTCTCAGAAATGGAAAATGTAGAACTCGTATATTTAGCAAAATTCTGAAATACCACCGGGTGGGTGAAGACTAACCAACACAATTAGAGATTACATGGTATCAAAACGGGCCTTAATGGCCTAAGTGGGCGGGTGAACATCATCACCCCAGCCATTTCACCCTAACCTAACCTAAAATTCACTGCTCGGCCACTGCTCGGCCCTGAGCAGGCGCAGACTACGCATAGGGAAACCTTTCTTAAGCCACTTCTCAGAAATGGAAAATGTAGAACTCGTATATTTAGCAAAATTCTGAAATACCACCGGGTGGGTGAAGACTAACCAACACAATTAGAGATTACATGGTATCAAAACGGGCCTTAATGGCCTAAGTGGGCGGGTGAACATCATCACCCCAGCCATTTCACCCTAACCTAACCTAAAATTCAAAAAACACTGCATACTTGGTTTTTCACCATTTTTCCAGGAGCTCCAAAGTTTATCTGAAAATTCGCATCTTTGTCCGGTTAATTTAAAATTTGGGTAATGTAATCCTCGTAAATAAACTAAACAACTACATATACAACTACTACGCTTTACAAATGCTGGCAGAACAATCAACATAAAATGCATATCAAACAGTTGGGGACAACTTAGTATGCACACAGACACACATGCAAGCAGGTGTTCCTGAAGTTGCGTGCAAACGATTGAAATAGCCAAAGCAAAATGTGGGACACTAATGGGTGAATGTATGTACATTCGCCTTGCACTGACAGGGCAAGAAATATTAATTAATTGAAAACTATTTAACATTTTCAAAAGTAATTTTTCTTAGTTTAGTATATTTGGCATTACGATTTTCATTAATAACTCTATTTCATTATTTTTTTTAAACGATATTTTGGTTTTTTTTTTTTTGACGGTCTCCAAATTTGTAGTACATACTCAACATAACTAGAGCCAATTGCATAAAATAATTTTCAAAATAAAATCGAATGAGTGAAAACCGAATTTTTCTTTACTCTATACACAATTTAGGAAACCGGACTACAAAGGCGCAATAAAAATTATGCAATATGAAGACGACCAAACATTGGAACTGAGTTAGATTTGTTGAAGTTTTTATAGCCTGTACCCAAAAGGTAAAAGGCTATACTAGTCTTGTGCGAATGTATGTAATAGGCGGAAGGAGGCGTGGCAGACCCCACAAAGTATATACATATATTCTTAATCAGGCTAAAAAGCCGAGTCGATATAGCCATGACCGTCTATCTGTCTGTATGAGCGCAAGGATCTCAAAAGGTACAAGAGCTATAATTACCAAACTTGGTATTCAGGTTCCCCTGGGCCCTAGGCTGGTCAAGTTTGTTTTTTATTCTAATTACATATATGAATTGAATAAGTTGTATTTAATTTAATAAATATGATTTTTTTAAATAAATTTTCAAATGTTTTGTTCATTTTTTCCTTTTTTGTGGGAAGTACTGGGTATTTAATAGTTGAGCTCGCTCGATGCTTAAAAACCCATGAATGCATATGTACATATATGTATGTATATGTTTGTATATATACAGTGGACCATCGAAAACTGTTGTTTAATTGTAATAAATAATGTTCCATGATTTTCAATCATAAATGAAATTTTTAAAACGAAAAGCAACAACGGGAACTGCAAGTCATGGCACATTTTCACATTTTTTGATCATCTAAGCCTTTTAATTGCAAAGGCAAAATGCCAAATGTTTATAGTTACCGTTGCTAGGCAACGACTGAGTAAGCGATAGTAAAGCAGAATAACGTAGCTACTTTTTGATCGTGGCCTATCGCTGCACGGCATTGACAGGAGTGCCGTGTTTGATCGTATTGACTCATTGGCACGAAAAGACACAAATGTAAATTTGCAAAAAATTAAAATTTTATTTAAATAATGCACGATGTATTTAAAAAATATCTTATGCACATGATCAATGAAAAAACTTCAACAAATCCAACTCAGATACATTTTAAGGCGAAATAGTGCGTCATAATAATGAACGTGTGGTCGACTTTATATGGCAAAATTTTTTGTAGGGGGGGCAACGTCAGTCATCTGTTGCTGACAACAGGGAAGTTCGAAAAAAAAATATAAGTTCTGTGGCATCGATGAGTCGATGACGAGACGGAGGATTTCTGTGACGGCTGAACGCACATTAACCTAACTTGGTATGTAGCATTGGTATATAATCTCCAAAAAAAAAAAATGTTAATAAAACTTTTCTTATGGATGCAATAGAAACGATCAGTACTGACAAAACATTGATATAAAATTTACCCATTTCAAATCCTTCGTTGGCCAGAATATTTTCAATATACGACATAGCAAAATTAATTGAATCAATCCATGAAATGTTCCATTCATTTAAATAATTTTGAGTAAGGTAATGCAGAAATGACTCAGCATATATTAAACAATCCTATAAAAAAAATCACATTATTACAAATTTTTTCATGGGTTAACTATAAACTTATTTTACCTCATATTGAGCTCTTTGCCACAAACAATGTAACAAGAGCTCGTTTAAATTCTTATAGTCAAGGAGTCCTCCAGGTTCGCTACCAATGTTCATTTTAATACCCAGTTGCTCCTTTAAATTTTCACAAAGATCGATCCACTTACCATTCTCAAATAAAACAGGAATTTGAGATAGTTTGGTTTTTCTAAAAAGAAAAACGTATAATTAAAATATTGTAATACAATGTTTTAAGGCGATGAATAAAAACATAACCTCTCACAAGTGCACAAACTTGAACTCGATTTTTGTATACCCTATACCCGTAGGGTAAAAAGGGTATATTAGGTTTGTGCAAAGTATGTAACATGCAGAAAGGAGCATCTCCGACCCTATAAAGTATAAATATTCTGAATCAGCATTACGAAAGAAATCGGTCAGGACATGTCCATCCGCCCGTCCGTCCGTCTGGATGAACGCAAGGATCTCAGAAACTATAAAAGCTAGAATAACCAAAGTTGGCATCCAGATTCTCCTAGGTCCGAGAAAAGACGAGTTTATTTTATTTTTTGGAATTTTCCCCCCTTCCCCCGCTACAGAATTTCGTCAATAGCGTCAACATTTCAACTGCTACCAAACTTTGCACACATCATATATATATATAATTATCTACTGTTGTTTAAAATTTTATCCAATTCGGTCAATTCTAAGAAAATTTATTAGCGAAACAAATTCTCGCCAGTACAACCCCCACAAACTGCAGCAACAAATTTGATCTTCTCCTTCCTCTTTTTGCTGTTGCTTTGGGCGCATATAACTCAGTGACGGAAGTTTACCTGGGTACAGGGTATGTCACTGTCGGGCTTTCTCGACTGTAGCGTTCTCTCTTGTTCTTCTCTATATCTGTATTTTTCACCCTATCTTTAAACTTAGTTTGTATACTCAAACGAAAATTTTTTGTTATACAAACCTTTCAAATTGCGGATACAGCGTAATTGACAATAGTTATTTAAATAATTCACTATTTTCATTTGAACAAGAAATTAATGCTAGAGTCGAGTGGGCTCAACTCTATTACCACTTCTGTGCGTGCTTATGTGCGTGTATGTGTGCAGCAGAGAATCATCATGTGCGGGCACAGTATGGGCAGAGATTACATTGATGGCTATAACTTCCTTTATAATCGGTTGATTAATAGGTTATTAATTTAAAACTTGGCATATAGACACAAAGTCAAAATTGAACTCGGAGTTCCACGAAGTGCGAGAGCTGTGAGAAATCACTTACGGCAGGGGAGTGGAGGTGTAAAAAAAACAACACAAGCTTGTTACATCTCCCGCTTAGGAGAATCTAGAAACCAAGTTTGGTTATTCTAGCTTTTATAATTTCCAAGAGCCTTGATCAGAATACCAAAATTGTCACAGTTTGTACTCCAAAAAAGAGAGAACGCTACAGTCGAGCAAGCCGACAGTAAAAAAAAACACTGTACCCACACAAATTTCCGGCACTGAGTTATATGCGCTAATGGCAGAAGCAACAAGTAAAAAAGCTAAAGTCGGGTGTCCCGACTTTGAAATACTCTGTACATATGTTTACAATAATTATAGAAAATAAAAAAAATTAAGAATATTAAAAAAAATGTTTGATCGATTTTATCTTTCTCGGTATTCGAACTCATGTAAATGGTGTATAATTGCACATTTACATAGCAATTGCGTCTGTGTGAGTGTATGTATGGCTATGCGCATCTATTCGTGTCTGTGTAAACATGTGTGAAGTCAGCAAAAGCACCAGCATCAACAACAGCCGCGGGCAGCGCAGCAGCAGCAAATATATTTATGGCTATAACTTCTTGTTAAATCGGTCTATCATAGTGAAACTTGGTACACGGACACATAATAACCAACTGGGGGTATTTCCAAGTGCAAGTAATATTCTAATATTAGTCATTTCTAAGAAAAGTTCTTAGCGAAACAATTTCTCTCCAATACTACGCCCACAAACTGTAGCATCAAGTTCGCTCTTCTTATTTTTATACTCTGTACATGAAATGTACAGAAGTATATTAGGTTTGCGGGCGCTGAAAAATGTAACAGGCAGAAGGAGGCGTAGCAGACCCCACAAAGTATATATATTCTTGATCAGCATGGCGAGACGAGTCGATCTAGCCCTGTCTGTCTGTCTGTCCGTCTGTCCGTCCGTATGAACACCTGGATCTCAGAGACTATAACAGCTAGAGACACAAAATTTTGCACAAAGATGCCTTACTAGGTGCTTTCCAAAGTAAACAGGACTTTTTGAATCTAGCGGCCCCTGGCGGCGCTATCTATACGTCGACTGGTGCGTTAGAATCTCCTATCTTTATTGATTGTCCAGTGAGAATTTCATGACATTTCATCGATTGGAAGTGAAGTTATTGCGTTTTAAGTGTCAGTATGTTTGTGTTATCGGTGCGAAAATGACCTTCGAACAAGGAGCCAACATTAAATTTTCAACGTTTCAAATGATGGAACAAGTTTATGGCGATGATTGCCTATCCCGTAGCAGAGTGCACGAGTGGTTTCAACGTTTTCAAAGTGGTCGTGAGGACATAAATGACGATCAACATGTGGGCCAATCAAAATTCGTGATCACCGAAAATTCCATCGAAACTGTGCGTGAACTCATCAAAAATCAGCCGAAATCATCATTGAAATTGATGGAAATGGAATTAAACATCTCCAAAATATCGATTTATCGCATTTGGGCTTACGAAAGGTGTGTGCACGGTTTGTTCCGCACAAATTGACTGACGACCAAAAATTGCTCAGAATCGATCGACGCTGGTGACCGATTATTTGACCAAAAATCACATTTCAACCATTAACCACTCGTCGTATTCACCTGATATGGCACCGCGTGACTTCTACCTTTTCGGAAAAATGCATTTGCCCATGACGTAGATGCCATTCAAAAGGCTTGCACCGGCATACTGGTGGCCATACCGGCCAACGAGCTAAAATACTCGTTCGACATGCTTTTGGATCGTGCAAAAAGCTGTATTGAAGCAGAAGGAGACTATTTTGAATAAAATAAATTGATTTTGCCGAAAAAACCATTTGTTCGGTTTTTTTTACTGTTTACTTTGGAATACACCTTGTATGTGTGTACGCTGTGCAAGATTGTTTTTTTTTTTTTTTTTGAATTTCTCTCCCTCCCCCCTCTCCACCGCAATTAGTCATATTTTAATAATAATTGTTGGAATGCACGCATAATTATTCTACATATATGTAGAGAGTATTTTAAAGTCGGGACTTCAGCTTCTCTACTTCTTTTTTATTAGAGATGATCTGTGAGTTTGGAAACGTTTGGGAAAATGTAGTGCGATGAATTATTACACGTTTGGAATTTTTTCAACCTAAACAAAAAAAATATCCCCTAAACTTGCCCCATTTCGAAGTCGAGACTCTAGAAATTAACTTGCGTTATACTTTCCAAGATCTTTCTGTTTATAGGAACAGATGAATTGACATGGCTATAACGACTCGTTTTATCATGCTGATCATGATACTGTCATGCCTCCACCTGCGCGTTTCATATATTCGTACTAAAATGGTATATATACACTTTTTTCCCTTTGCGGAAAAAGTGGGTAAACTTATAAAAAAGTACAACTCATCTCTAGCTTTCCACTCTTTTCGAAGAGAAATAAGCAATACCTTGAATTGATAACTTTGCACGAAATTGTCCGACAAAACATTTTTTACCCTTACATTTATAACCCTTTCATATTTTTAATATTATTAAAATACAATTAATAATAAGTAATTATTAGATTAGTAAACAATTACCTTTCAATTTCTAGGCGCCTAAATATCCATCGATCCATTGTAATGCAACATGAGCTCAAGTTTGGCAAGTGAATACAAAAATTTGAATCTTTTGTGCCTAACAGCTCAACAACAAAATTAATTAGTTCCAAACTCTTTTTATTATCAAAATTAGCAGTATAATTAAGAAATTCTATATTGAGCACTCGGTAAGTCAAGATTTCCAAACCTACTACGTTCTTTTGCGTTGCACATCCAAAAAAAAACTTGAGGTTGTTTAATAATTCCGTCCAGATATTGGGCAAAATACTGAAATAAAAAGATATTTTTTTTTGTTTTATTATAATAATTCGCATTCTAAGATTTATAACTTTTTAAACATTGTTATGCTGCACTGTGGGGCCTTAGGCCGAAACAGCTTGCGATCAATCAATCAAAAATTTCAGGAACGCTTTGGGGATTATGAATACACGTATCTAAAATTAAATTTCCCAGAGAGTAAGAAAATCTTACTCTTAAAGAAATCGAAACATGAAAAATTTAATATTATGCAAATACTTCATCTTTCAGGTATAATATTAGCTAAATTATATGACTAATCATTGATGTTTTGATTTGTATTGCTGGGTGTATTTTATGCATAATTTCATTAAAATTTGTTTTTAGGGTATTTTTTTACAGACAAAAAGGGGGTCGTTAACCTAGGTATAAATGGTATATATTACCCATAGTTTTGGTGAAGCGCAATTATCTAGTTTTGACTTAAAAAGCAGTCAGTTGTGCGCAATAAGCAGTGAATAGTATTTTTATAGCCTGTACCCAAAGGGTGAAAGGCTATACTAGTTTTGTGCGCATGTATGTAACACACAGAAGGAGGCGTGGCAGACCCCACAAAGTATATATATTCTTGATCAGGATGAGAAGACGAGTCGATATAGCCATGTCCAAAATTTTCAATTTAATATTTTATTATTAAATTTTGTATTATGCAGAGCAATGTTCATAAAAAATCACCTTTTTAGGTTTTTGAAATAAAGTTATTATTTGTGATAGTGAATTATATTTAACAAGATAGAACGCTACAGTCGAGCAAACCCGACAGTAAAATAGCCTGTACTCTCCACAAAAAGAAAAAATTAAAAAAAAAAAAATTTTTTTTAAATTAAATTATTAAAAAAAAAGAATGAATTAATTAATTAAAACAAGATAGAACGCTACAGTCGAGCAAGCCCGACAGTAAAATAGCCTGTACTCTCCACAAAAAGGAAAAATTAAAAAAAAATTAAATTATTAAAAAAAATGAATGAATGAATTAATTAAAATAATTAATTAAATTAAATTAGAATATTGATTTTTAAATTCCGAGAATTACGGAAGTTATAAGAAAAAATACGAATTGCGGGGGAGTGGGGGGGTGTATCAGAAAAAATAAACAAACTCGTTCTGCCTAGGGCTTATAGGAACCTTGATACCAATTTTATTTTGGTTATCCTAGCTCTTGTACTTACTGAGATCCTTGCGCTCATACAGACAGACGGTCAGACGAACAGACGGAAAACCTAAAAAGGTGATTTTTTATGAACATTGCTCTGCATAATGCAAAATTTAATAATAAAATATTAAATTGAAAATATTTGTTATTTTTTTTTTTAATTTAAAAATTTTGTTTTTATTTTTTAATTATTGAAAAAATAAAATATAACAATATTGAAAATAAATGTATCATTAAATGTTTTTTTATGTGAAAACTTGGCAGTTTTATTAGGCAAATATTGCACCGGCAACAAAATTTCAGCTCATATTGTGCAGCTAAATACCATAGCACAATTTGCAATGATATGATTTAAAGCTTACAAATTTCTCTTTCCAAGTAAATTTGTTTGATGAAAATATCTTTACCGCGTCAACAGCCCACAGCCCAAACGGCAAAAGCTATGAAGCTGAACTTTGGGCTCAAATATCCTATCGTAGTTTAGATGGGATTTTTAAAAATTCCAGCTCCAAAGGGGGAAAACTTAAAACTTGGTTTCTAAAATCAATAAAAGAATACAAATAAAACTGCATACTCGCATTTTTACATTTTTTCTTGGATACTGATGGATTTATATTGGCTTTCTTCGGGCACAAAAGGAAAAGAGAACTTTCTCTTGTGTTCTATCAGAAGCGTTTGTGCTCTGCATTTTTATTTACTTCTGGTTGTTCTTTTTGAACTTAAATTTATAATTGTTGCATACAAATCTTTTTTTTATATGCTCTACACTGTGTTGTGTTATCACACCATAACTTGTGCAGAGTTAAGTATCAAATCTACAATTTAATATTTTTGTCATCTGTTGCTGTGTTTTTTGTTAGTGCCTCTTTATTTTGTTTCTGCCTGCCGTCCTGTTTCAATAAGTTTGTGTGTGTTTCAGTGCATTTTTTTTTGTGGGGTCCGCCACGCCTCTATCTGTGTGTTACATACATGCGCACAAAACTAGTATAGCCTTTCAACCTTTGGGTGCAGGCTATAAAAATGGATGAGTTTAGACATTTTTTTGTCAATTCCAATGTTGATGTAGTTTGTGTGTCTGAAACGTGGTTGGTTTCTAGTCTTAGTGATCAATCTATATGTTGTGATGGGTATAATGTTTAGCGTTGATCGTGAGGGGCATGCGGGGGATGTGGACATATATGTAAAAAACAGTCTGAAATGTCAGATGATTAGCAAACAGCCGTTGGGCAGCAATATTGAATATCTGTTCTTGAAGATAACAACTCGCAGCAATACTGAAAGCATCCTTATCGGATGTGCTTATAGACCAAACAGGTTAACGGATTATAGCGATTTCATGAACACCTTTCACTCGGTTTCTCTAAAACATAACAATATTGTCCTAGCTGGAGATTTTAACAGCAATATGTTAACTGAACATCACCTCTTGGCATGGGACTTATAAACACTACTTTACCGACGCACTTCTCCAACACTTGTGATACCCTCCTTGACGTATTTTTTGTTAATGACACCAAAAAAAGCTATCCTATTTGACCAGCTTTCAGCGCCAGCTTAAACACGACATGATTTTCTTGACGTATGACATCTACAAAGAACAAAGTAACCATGCAATCTCTTTTAGGGACATTAGGAAAATTGACCATAGGCTACTGTATGAATACTGTGATAACTTAAACCTTGACGAAATATTTACTAAACCTAATGTTGACGAGCAGCTTGAACTGTTGAATAAAAACATTCAGCATCTTTTTAATACCTTTGTGCCACTGCGATACAAAGTTATCAAGCCAGTCGAAAACGAATGGTTCAGTAGGGATATCGGTTGTGCAATAAAAAACCGAGATCATGCTTACAAAAAGTGGAAACGCTACAGGACGGCGGCTTACCTTTTACATTATAAAAAACTTAGAAGAATAGTAGGGCTGAAGATCACAAATGCCAAACGTGCCCATTTTTCTGCCAAATTCACTTCAGTCCTATCATCAAATCAGGTTTGGACTGAGCTAAAAAAGTTAGGGATTGGGAAATGCAAACCTTCTTTAACATCTGAAGTAAACGTAGATGCGCTTAATAGCAAACTTGTAGACTTAGATGTACCTGAAGTCCACGAAAACGCGTACCTGAACCATACTTCCCTGATAAATTGTGATATTAGTTTTAGTTTTATGTGTGTTCGTCAATGTTTTGTTTTAGATTCCATCGTCAAAGTGAAGTCAAACGCCACTGGTCTTGATGAAATTCACCCAAAATTTTTAAAATGTTTACTCCCTAAAATCTTAAAGCATATTAAATATATTTTTAACTCCATACTTACTTTCCGTACAAATGGAAATTCGGACAAATAATCCCTATACCTAAGGGAGACAATGATTTTCGGCCAATTACCATTCTATCATATCTTTCAAAAGCATTTGAACAGCTAATGGCCAACCAAATTACTAACTTCTTGGTAGAAAACTCAATATTAACTGACAAACAATCGGGCTTTAGAAAAAATAGAAGCTGTATGTATAACATCACTGTTAAAAATTACAGAGGACATTCGCAAGCAAGTCGACAACAGTATGGTAACATTTCTTACATTTCTTGGCTATTCTAAAGCTTTTGACACAGTAAACCATACCATAATTTGCACAAAACTAAAAAGACTCTTCAACTTCTCTGACCCCGCAACAAGTCTAGTCCAATCGTACCTATCCGGTCGCCATCAAGCAGTTGTCACCTCGTGTAGTTTTTCGTCTTTTATGTCAATAAATTGTGGTGTCCCACAGTGATCAGTGTTAGGGCCTCTGTTATTTTCTATTATGACCTTCTATGTTTCGTGTCAAATTGCGAGATTCACTTTTACGCAGATAATGTCCAGCTATATGTTAGTCATCCGTTAAATAGAATAAAAGAATGTGTTAGTGTCTGTAATGACGATCTGTTAAAAATCAGTGAATGGGCGATAATGAATGATCTACAGTTAAACCCGAAAAAATTTAAATACCTGGTATTATATAAAAAGAAAATTTACCCACTCAATCTAGAGAAATTGAAACTCAGCAATGAGCATATCGATTGCGTAAAGAAGGCAGCGATAACCCTCAATGAGACTCTATCCTGGCATAATCACGTTAATAATGCAGTAGGAAGAACTTATAGTGCACTAAGGCACCTCTCTTTGACGCAGAATTTCCTCCCAGGCAAACTCAAGCTCCTTATTGCAAAGTCATACCTGATACCCTCATTATTTTATGGGGTTGAATTTTTTGGAAACTGCGATGCCGCAAGCCAGAATAAATTAAAAGTCGCCTTCAACAGCATTCCGCGATATGTCTATAACATTAAACGAAGAGAATCTATAACGTCATACGCTAACCAAATTTTTAACCTGACCCTTAACTCGTCGATAAAACTTAGGACTCTAATTTTCTTGCATAGAACCATTAATCGTAAAGAACCGTATTATCTGTATAACAAAATCTCATTTAGTTCATCAAGACCAATGATATAGTTTGCGAAAAATATAGGTTATCCAGTTCAGAAAAGCACTTTTTCATCTTTGCTGTTCGTCTGTGGAACGAGCTACCACATAAATTAAAAAAAATCAGCAGTGAAACGCATTTTAGAACTAGAATTGAAGCACACTATCATGAGTATAACTAATGAAAAAATCAAAAAGCACAACCTATACTATACATTTACATTCATTAGGCAACACTTACTACTTGTACTAATTTAATGATAATGATAAGAACAAAAGAGAAACAAGTAAAAAAGCTAAAGTCGGGTGTCCCGACGTTGAAATACTCTGTACATATGTTTACAATAA